GTGAAGACAAGCTCCTTGATTGAAGTCCTAAGCAAATAATGAAATCCCTTTTCAGGTGGTTTTATGCCCAATAATCCAGGAAGAATTCATTGTATTCACTAGTGATGATCCCAAGATTTTATTTGTCAGAAATTGCGGATAAACTACCTGTTTGAACAATAAACAATTATATCCTCCGCTGAACCAGATATCATCTAGAATAAAAGCTTTTCTTCCTTGAATTCAATTTATTTTCAATGACAAATGCTCATAATACTCGTATAATAATGGTACTTAACACAAAAATCGTGAGTTTTCAAGCAGTTCCACTTCCTCGAAATAAGTTCCCCTTTGCTTCATCTGATTGTCAAACAATGTTATGAATTAGAGTTGAAATAACCTTCAATAGATAAGGTATAAAATGTGTACAGAATCAGAACTGATTCAGATATTCCAAGCAAGAAAACCAAAAAAACATTCTCATTTATTTAAATTGTTCATTCAATTTGTAAGCAAAGTTTAGAAATACAAATAGTTACTGACCTTATTGGACTCTTCAATGGTTTATTCTCGTATGATGCAGTAACTTTTTTGGTATGAACAATTCGTAGTTTACTATTGTCGTTCGCTAAAAATGCTAGTATAGCAAATCTCTAGATGTATGTACTCGTAAAACAAAATCAATATTTTGTCAATATATTATGTTTATGAATTGTAACGGAAATTTCAAATTACTTTCCTTCACCTAGTACAGTTTACTGAATACACTTCTGAACGTTCAATTATTATAGATTTTGAGGAACTCAAACAAAGTAGGTGTTTTACTTTACAATTAGGTTTTACTTTAAGATCAGTTTTTTTTTTTAAATAATATACCATATCTCAAAATCTTAACGTCTAAAAATTATTTTAAATACCATTACTGCCATGAAAAACTAAAGGTTTCGATTGAAATTTCATCCATTTTAATGCAAATCCTAATGCATTCATAGTATCTGTATTATAATTCTCTTAGATATATTTGGAATGCTCTGACTTTTTCTCCATGTTCCATACAATCATCTAGATGGTTAGAAAAAAATATGAAGTCTCATTTCTTGATACATCAATCGTTTATCGAATATAATAGGTATACAGAAATCATTTTAATTTCTTTATACTTGTCTGATTATTGTACATGTCTACCACAGTATTGTATGCACTATTCATCTTGAGAAACAAATGAACCAAGGAAACAATGACATGTCTTTCTATTATCCTCCAATAGATGATATATAGATAATGACTTGATATGTCATTTTTTCTATTTCAAATGTAATCTTAAATGAATTGTCAATCGTAATTTTGATCGTATTGAATCGTCAAGAATATTGAAATAATAATAATAATACGTCTTTATTCACCATGAAAATACAAATGGAATAGACAAAAATAAAATAAAACAGTATACAGGAACAATAACAAAAACAAAAAAGAAACTTCCATATATGGTAAATGGTGAATATTTTAGTTCGAAATTATGAGTGAAAATTGATTTTCCTTCCTAGGTTGAAATTCATTTGAAAAAAGTTCCACAGAAAAATGTAGAGAATGAAAATCCACTGGAAAATTCAAGCTATGAGATGAAAATATATAAAAGTTCACAAAGGTGTACTATAGACCAAAAATGACTATGTTGTCATTTTGAATGAACTGAAAGAAACATATACGTGAAAAATTTCGTTGCAGATAAATATTTTCTCATTTTCATTGTGCTGACGATTTCATCGCATTTCATATAAAACAAAGCTAACTTGAAAATATTTTTCGAAAACTTTCAGCCGAATTTCTCTGTTTATTTATTCTACTGATCTGAACTTGCTGAAAATATGAATGGTTTATCCAACAAACAGTTCAAATATAATTCAGACTTTCGAACAATTGCGATAAAAAGTTTAATATCCGTAATGAAAATTAATTTAAATTTTTTTCTTGGCAACTTCGCCAAAAATTCAACTCTGCTAATATTCATATGGTGAGGAATATATTAATTTTTTTACATATTTTTTTTCTGGAAACTAGACATTTCCAACAATAAAAAGTGAAATTTCAACATCTTTGGATTTTCCACAACAGAATGTACTTTTGAATAACTTTTTTATACCTTCTAAATGGTACATCAAAAAATAGTCTTGTTTCACAAAAGTCTGAAATATCAATGAAACAATTTTTCTAGAATCTCAATCATCGATTTTTGAGTCTGTCACCTATTAGGTGTGTTTAACTCTGTTTACCAATGAGAAATACAAATTACATTACAGAATCCATAGAAAAATCGTACTTTATTCGATACGTTTAGTTTCACTCCATTTTTTTATCTATATAACAAACAATTTGACGAATGGAGACATTCTACTAGCTTCATGCTGTCAATTTTTGATGTAAAATTTGTTTTCCATCACAAAACACTTCTCAAATAGTGCTGTGGGAGATTTTTCCCAATTTTTATAGAATATTATACTTGAAATATATGAAGGGGATAATAATTCTCCAGGTATTTTCGTTGGCGTAAGATCCTATATGTGTTTCCTGGAGTATTTCATCATGATTAGCATTTTCCTAATTCGTTCATTTATTCTTTCTTCCCATCTAATACATTATTTATTGTTATCAATGTAAATTTTCCAAATATGAAGAAATGGATGATCAGATTTTACAGATCTACAAGCGCTCTCATCATCAATATTTTCAACAGGCCATTAGCTTGGTGGATGTAACTTTTCATTATCTTGTTCGTAATAACTCTGTCATTTTTGAAATCCAGACAGGCAATTTGAAGTATGTATTTGGATTTTCTTCTAAAAACGTCCCAAATGATGAAGTTATCCCAAATGAACACATTAAATCATCAAAATACACTTTGGTTCACTACTTGTTATACCCAGCCTGAATGTAAGGGTGTTCTACAACTCTTCCACCCGATCTCTGTTAAGTTCTCCCTACAAACAAAAACCCATCCGAGCCCCTCGATTCGCATCAATCACCGAAATATATCGCGTATTGTTGATTCTAACCCGTTCAAAGACACTAGGCGGCCGGCTGGGTACATCCTTGACCATACTCCTCGCGTATTTGTTATGCTCTAGGTATGTTGTAAGACGCCGACAGAGACCATCTGAAAATACGCCATCGGCCGCGAATAGCCAGACAAGTGTCAGACGAGCCGGAGCAGTGTGGGAAACTGAACCATCGAAATCGAGAGTTTCATTCGGCTCTGGGGCCACACTAAGGTTGTGTGGTATTCGCGGATCAACAAGACAGAGGCGGCGCCCATGAAGGGCTTTCCAGTTATTCAGGAAGTGGATTATCGAACGAAAATAAGTCTATGTTTTCGATGCCGGTATACGAGAACATGTCAGAGAGAATTGATTTGCGATATCAAGCCCACATTAATTTGTATAAGAATCAAATCTGTCCTGAAGAACACGTCATGCTGAAATAATTTTCAATGAGTTCAATGGACGAATCTTAGGCTAAACTAAATACAGGGTGTTCATTTGAAAACTTCCCACCACGGATTTATCGAAAACTACTGATTGAAATTACTGAAATATGAAGTTTTAAGTTGATCACTTGAGCATTATTTTGGAATAGGTACAGTAGCAACAGCGCACTTGAATCTTTTCATATTATAGGAGATCAAAAGCAACAAATTGGTCAAAAACATTACTACAATGTGATGACTCACAATTATTTTTGGGTAACAAAAACTTTTATTTTGTTTCTCACGTTTCCAATACTAAAAAATGAAGTTTTAGGTTGATCACTTGAGCATTATTTTGGAATAGGTACAGTAGCAACAGCGCNTTATTTTTGGGTGACAAAAACTTTTATTTTGTTTCTCACGTTTCCAATACTAAAAAATGAATTTAAAAAAAAATCAAATATACCAATCAAAAACTACTTTTTACAATTTTTTAGAGAATATTGAAGAAGAAGGAATACTAAAAAGGGTTTTTGCCAAACAATAATTGATCCGCGGATTTTTTCACATGAGTTTTCGGTACAAAGTCTTGATATCTTGGAGATTATACAACATTTTCAAACATGCAAAGGATGAGGACGCCTAAACATCAATAAAAGCATGTAATGGGGCTTCGGAAAAAATATGAGACCAAAATAAATTGACCACTGGACTACAGTGGTCACTGGCTTATACTATCTGAATACTACTCCAATCTGTTGAATATCAGTAAATGAGATTTCTAAAATTGTTCCAATTGCCACTACTGATTAGAGTAGGAATATAGTTATTGTGTCGTCAATTTAGTTTTTCTTTACCAATCCAATTTTGTAATGACATTGACGAATGTTCTTTATCAATTAGTCTCAAAATAATACATAATATTTATGATGAAGTAAAATGTTGTCATTCAAGTCCCACCAAAACTATTCCTGACCACTTTACCTCAAAGTATAGGCAAATTAGCCATTCTACAATAGTTGGTGAAAACAAAATTAAAAAATCTCATTCAGTATATAACTGAATCGTTGATTCCACACCAAATTTTATACATGATAAATAGTTTTGGTGAATACATTTTCTATTATTAAGTTCAAAAAGCAAAGGTTTTTCCCTAGAGAGGACGCTCCTAGAGAGGGCATCTAAAAAATTCCGAGACAAAAGAATAAACAATCTGTCTTCTTGTTGAGCCATAGAATAGTTTATCAATGAAAATTATTGTCATATTATTAGGTGTTTTAAGGATTTCCAGAATTTGAAACAAGCAAAAGATTAGGATATTTTGAAATCGGCATTGGATTCCGGAAAAACTTCTCAAAATCCCCTCAGCAGACCGTTATGCATTCTCCTTTAAAATTTTCCGGAACCTAAGCCCCCAAGATACGCCCATGCGTCCGGGCGGACCTTGGCCATACATTACGAGCCATTCGTCTTTGTGTTGAACCGCAAAGCTTCGTAATATTCAGGCCTCGTACGAAGGCCAAGAGAAGGAATGGCAAAAAAAATTCTCGGTACATACCTCTGGCGCAAAGGGTGATCAGAGTTTTGGCGTGGTTCAGGACCATCTCGGGCCTGATCATCCAATTGTCCTCCATCGGCAGCCTGTTGAGGAGGTGTCTGAGGAAGTCGTGGGGAGTTACGGATGCGATGTCCCATTTCAGTTTACTCAACACTAAAAGTTCCCAACTCTGCAAAATAAAAGACGGGATCAGATTCGGTTGGCGGTGGTTCACACGTTCCACGTCTCGCCGAGGACGTTCACATCGTCGTATGAAAAATTCGTTGAAGGAATGTTTGGGTTATGCGATGTACAGGAGTCAACGAAAGTAATTATCGAGAATGTATTGGATATTCATTTACAGACCGGGCTTTCGTAAACGTACTTTGCTATGCATAAATGCTAGGAAAAAGTTTTTCGCAGGAATCGAAAAACACGTCAAGTATGTTTGTAATGGATGAGCAATCCCCTTTTTTTGATTGAGCAGGAAAGTTAAATTATACCTCATTGAGAAGAGCATGTCTCTATGTTATTTTATATTTGGGAATTGGAAACACACTGAAAATAAATTAAAATTAAAGGCAAAATATTGCATTTACAGCAAGTGTTGCTGGTGGCGGTGAGAGCGTGAAATTCCTGGGAATTATTCTAGATAAAGGCCTCAGCTGGAGTCTACATATTGAACTTTTGTGTAAGAAAGAAATTCATGCGCCATGTATGCCCCTTTTCATTGAATATAAAGTGAAGCGGCTTCTCTCAGTATTTATCTGTTTCGTATATTTCCCACACAATCACGTAGGCACTTTAAATAGAGATTTATCCCACCATAGATATGCTTTTCTCCGTGAATCTGATCGGACCCTCTTTTTATAAACACAAATAGAGCAATAAAAACGCTTCTGGTTTTGAACAGATCCCAAAAATTGTTAAACTCAAAGCTCCTTTTACTGGTTGATGAATTTATTGACCCGTCAGTCAGTGCTTCATTTTTTGTCAAACCACACTTGAATGAAGATGTAACTTCTTGGTAATACACAAACTATATCTCTATTTTTTACTACAAAACACAAGCACTACAGAAAAAACAGTGTTTCAAGTGTTCCAAGCTTTTGGGAAGCAGCCTTTGTGATTCCAGCGACATGATTGTGTCAAGACATACCTATTGGTATCCATTTTAACCCCCAACAAACTTATTGAAGCAGAAAGCGAAATTGTCTGACCTGACATTATTGTATCCGACTAGGAGACATTTATCTTCTTGTAAAAAACCAATGCCTGGGTTTTTGGGGCATTGAATTACTTTACTTTACTGGTTACTTTCATCCCAATTCAAAATCACCTCTAGATCCTCAACATATGCAACCTCCTGCTGCCTATGAATATGTGACTCCGTAGCCGATGTCCTGGAATCCAAATGGAATGCGTTATTCCAAATATGGGTGACATATAATAGAAAGTCGCCTATCGATCTTTGTTTGTGAAAGCCATATTGATGGCTGAAGCCTTACAAATATTTGAGGATGTGGGAGTTTACGGCTTTCTCCATGACTTTTGTCCGATCCGTGCTAGGCATTGCACATCAAGGGTTAAGACCTCGTCAATCCCTAGCTCATACTAGTTTCGATTCTGTGGGTTGTTGTTCGAACGTAGATTTTTTCTTCACTCTAGCATTATTTTTAGGCGCATTCAATTTTAGACCATTGGTGAAGCAACCACCAAAGTTGAAGTTTGAAATGATAAAACTGAGCCATTTTTTTAATACATTTGTTTGATATCTATAATACAAAATTATGCATGTAATTGAGTTTGTGTAGCCGTTTTTTCTTTACAAGAGATTACGGTAAAATTGAAAACAATAGTTACATTTTTGTAAGTTCAAGTTACATAGGAAAAATGATTTCAGGCTTTTTTCATAAACTTATCCCTTCTAAAAATATACCTCTTTCAATTCAAATATGTTTCATGTTTTGAATAAAGTGCGTATTATAAAATATTTATTGAACTCTTTTGTTGAATTCAAAAGTTTCGCAATAATCGTAAATCAACGATCTCTTTGAAATTTTTTCGAAACAATACCGACGACACATTATCGAATCCTATATCAGCAAATTGAAACAAAATATGCATTTTAGCGACATTTCTTCTGTTATCTCTTTTGCATTCCAATTGACTGCAATCATATCATAAACATTCGGGAATCAGAAAGTTCCGACATTATTATTAGCATGACTGGACCGGAAGCAGACAGCAAAAATATGATAAGATAAATCATAACAATTGGCAATCGACAGGATCTCTTTCGTGATGGGAAAGGAAACGAGAAAACGACGGGTTCTTCACAGAAAACCGCAAATCGTCAATAACAACAAGGTATCGCAAGAAATGATAAGAAATGATAAAATGATAGAATAGTTATACAATTCGATACATATAAAGGAAAGGTAACTGATCGCTATCTATACATGGAAAATATTCGAGAATGACTAGTTTTATTGAAGAATAGAACTCAAAAAAATGATTTTCAGAATTTTTGCTATAAGTACTTAACATTTAGTATTCGATGATTCATTTCAATTTGTTGATAAATTAAAAAAGTGATAATTCAAAAAAACACGTCTGAATTTTGTTGAATAAAATCTATAAAAATACTATTCAGGTGAACTGGCTAAAACTTTGGTTAACTATATTTGATGTTCGTGAAACAATTTTCTTATGAATCAAATATAGGCAAATATATGAGAACTCATTTATCATACTTAGGAAAAAAATCATTCCTACTTGTATGAAGTACTATAACAAATTTCAGATATATTCTCAAGAAACAATTATATACAAATAAACTACACATACTCATAGATATGGAGTCAGTTATACTTTTTCAAAACTAATAATATAATACTAAATTGCTTATAAACGAATTACGAATAAAACATTTATCACATTATGTGGCAATACATACGTTGGCCAGATTAGAACAGCCATAACAACATGTTTCAAAGGACACACTGCACAAATCCAATTTCAAAGATCAGAAAAATATGTGTCGCTTAAAAATATGGACACCAGAATGAAACATTAGATTCATTTATTAATCTGAATACAACTGCTGTATGATACATAACAATATAGAGTGCAAAAAAGACCTACGAAGCTTTCGCTTAAATTCATTCACGTTGAGGAAAGACTTTGAATATGCTTGAATCAATCCAATTGTGAATTGATTTGTAACTGAATAGAATACCATTGATTTCTTCGATTTTACATACAGAACTTATACCATAATCATATCATCTGGTAAGAAGTATTCATCTTTTAATGTCTGAAGAATATAAAATTAATTCTGTTGAATGAAGTGTCATGATCTACCACTTCCATGTGATAACTTGATACTCAAGAACCAAACATTTTTTTCGTGCAAACTCATTCTCAAGAATATGGTGAACAAATTGACTTCAATCAATATGAATTACATGCATGACTTGGAGGTAATTTGAGAGTAAAATTATTATATGAGCTCGCATCATTCTTGTAAACGGAGGCTAAAATTCTCTAGATTTCCGGACTTAGTGAATATCAATACCACTATTGACGTAAACGGCAAACTAATATTTAGAGTTATATAGAGTTTTAAAAGGTCAACGTGAAGAAAGACTTATCGACTTTTTGCACAGGAAAATATAGTACAACAAACCATTGCTGTCTGAAATAAATTATTGGAGATATATTTTGAGAGTTATCAAAACAAGAGTAAACATAATGTAAACTAATGGATTTAACTTCAGTTTTATTTACAAAGATTCACAAGAGGTCATGATTTTATGATGTTTCAATGTTAAATATGACCAATAGTATCTAATCTTTGCTCCGAGTATCACCCTACATATGACAAAGTATTTGAAATGATGTTATGATGGAATTTCCTGGGTAGATTGACTCATTGTTCTGAATCGTAATTTCCTGACATTATAGGGTCAATTTTCTGCGAATAGTATTTTTGACACTCTTCAAAATGTAGATTTAACAACATCTTATCTCCTGAAAATATCTGCAATAAAAAAATGTGAAGTGAAATCATAAGTCTCTTGAAAGTTGAATGAAATTTTTTGGTGCCAGAGCAGAAAACATTATTGGTGTATCGTTTTCAAAAAATATATCATTTGGTTTCTAAAATTCGTCCCAAAACTGTCTAGTCTCACAGTTAATCTATTCAGTCTCAATTATACGCATATGACTCATTGCCGTGGTATTTCTGTTATGAAATTTCCCAGAACAATAAGCTAGTAATTTTAATGAAGCCGGTATCCACTCTATTCATTGAAACATTCCTTTTCATTGATGTCTTCATTAGGGATTGATTCTGTCAACTGTGTTGAAAACTTTTCCAATTCTTTTATCCCCTTACAAACCACAATAGACTCATTTACATTTGTTTCATTTCGAAAATCAAGCCGACACATAATTTGAGAATATTGGCGAAAATAAACTTTCTAAGTGAATCCCAGATCCGGCTAGGAATCGCCATCAATTTCAGATGTTTCTGAGTGGTGTGTATTTGTATCCACTTGTCTATGTTGAAGAAGTATGGGAGATACAAAAATCACAAAAGTGAGAAAATTAGATATCTTCATTGACCTTTTCATTATCCACAATCTAAAAAAAAAAATAAAGAAACAAACTGCATGTTACAATTAATTTTTCCAATTTTGACGACGGATGCAGAAACATCCCCAAAAAAGTGAATAATGAACTTCTCTGATTTTTTTTCACTTATTGGATTTTGACAAGTGGAGTTTGGAACCTTTGGTGTAAACAGAATGTATTGAAAACATTTTTATCTCAACGGAACCCCGACCAGACGAGTCACCTCCTGATGATGCTGATGGTTAGCGAAACGTGCATCAAGAGACTGCATTCTTGTTCTAGTGCTGAAGAAGTGTTTTCAATAGACTTATTGGGTCCTGAAATTTTTGTGCAACCCAAAAAATGTTACTGTTTAATAAAACTCATTTCTCTCAATGAAACTTTCATTTCATATTCATTAAGAAATATGTGATTATAATAATTCTCTCACGCAGGAAAAAGCATACCACAAAGAGTCCTTGAATTTTTAATCGCCATTCAGGTTTTTACATCGGTTGAGAATTTCATGATACACAAAAAGTGGTATTTTATTTTATGGTTGCTGAGATG